CAGTAGATCACGCAGACCAGAACCAGCTGCAATGAGAAAACATAACAAAGGCATCACTATAAAGCATCTGAACATGAAATTCCTCCTAGGCAACAATATTCGTAATGGCAAATATAACTTTTCAATGCTTTCACTTTTACATGCTCGGAATGTTTACTTTTCTTTAGCAGTAAAGACACGAGGTGGCTAATCACTGTTACCCTACAACTGAAATTACATCGAGCAATGAAAATCCTGCTAGTGGAATTATCTATCCCCCATACAGTGTTTGAGGAATGAAATGCTCAAGGATAAATGGCTTAAATTCACTGGGGAAAGAAGAGGTACTGGAAGAAGAATAGAAAACGTATAGTAGACATAGCTGAGGTAATCACTTACCTTCTGCTTCTCTGCTAACTTCATCGATGAAGCGATGCAAGAATCCCATGATAACTTGCCCTTGGGGGTTGTTTTCATCCTCGATGGAAATCCTACCCTTGAGTTCTTCTTTGTCAATTACTGACTCGCATTCCCTGGGAAACACGGCTGCGGCCATTTCCTTGTGTGCCTTTAGGTAATTGACAAGGGAAAGCTCATTCATTCCTGCAGCAAGATCTTTCAGTTCACGGTGGCGCTTTTCGATCACATTGTGCAGCATTATCTGCTGGAGAACCAAGTGCCGTTTCTCTCCCCTTAGCGGCACTTGAAGTACTGACGCTTCATCACGATAAGGCAAGAGGAATTCTTTAAGTGCATCTGAGGGTTCTTCATCCTTATCAAGACTTGATAACTGCAAAACCGTTAAATTGCTATGGTGTTGTGACTGAACAATGAAATGCTTCTTACGACAAATTATAAACTTATAGTGTCATTATAGATGTATACACCTATTTGGAACACACTTGTGCCTTTTTTCAAATATAAACAGGACAGTACAAGTGCCATATCAAACAAAAATTAACCAGAATAAATATTGTTAGTAACACTAACGTGTTGCTGAAACATTACACAGAAATACGTAAGTAATGTCTGTACAAAACAAGATCATCAATGCGAGTACCTGCTTCAAGGCTTGTCGAAGGTCATAATCTGGGATGTCCTCCATGGTAACAGCTTCACTGATGCTTTCACGAGTCCAAAATTCAAGCACTGCTGGGGAAAGTCCATAAAGTGGTGGTCCTCCATGCAAGAAAGAATGTGCAATCATCCGTCCAACACTAGTGTACAGTCCAGAATTACACAGTAACGCATTTGGGACTGGAATTTTGTGGTCAGTCTGGCCCTCAAATAACATAGTCAGCCGCCCAGGATCATCCACGTAAAGACCATTTTGAACAAATCCCATTAATATGCTAAAGAACTCTCTGACAGGTCCCTCGCCAACTGCTCTTTCATTTTCAAATTGCACTCGAAGGTTTGAGCGAAAACATGGGTTGGCTTTCTTATAAATGGATAAAACATCTGCAGTGAACTCCTCCGTCATCCGATTTACATAGATTCTCAGTGGTGGGCCATTTTCATCCAGAGTTTCTTGTTTGTACTGTGCAACAGGGTCAGTACAGGTACTGACAGTACTTGAGGATACATGTGCTTCAAATGGTGATTGCATGAGGTCACTGTCTTCTTCTGTACAGTATTCATTACCTGAGTCCCCACTGTTCATTAGGGCACCTTGCAGAAGAAATTGCAAAAAAGGGGAGTTCAGTAAATTATCTGTTATGAGACTCTGTAAAGCTTAGGTCATGTTATAAGTATGCACCTCTAAATCGAATGAAGGGCTCTTATTTCAAATGAAATGAAATAACAATTTCAAAACCAAATGAAAGAACAGATAAGTATAACTGTCTCCAATGAAGGGTTCCATGGTAATCAGAAAAATAATTATGTTGGAGCAAAAAATGCACGCAACCTTACCACTACACAATACCAAGGACCTCTGCTTTGTTGTAATAACATCACAGACAGGTAAAGTTCAGAGATCTACCATTATTCACATTTAAGTAATAAACTTGTATAGGTAGCTTACATGTCCCAGCAGACCACTGGATAAGCCTTGATGCAGCCACACTTTTATCTCCTCCACTGTCTGCCAAGATTGCTCGGATAGTGTCTATACTTTTGTCTGGAAAAAGTGCACTTAATTCAGCCACAGCATCAGATTCCTACAAAAAAAATATTAAAATAGTAAGGGCATCCATATTCTGCAGGAATACCATTGAAGAACTACCAGCCACATTTGTCACTAGGATAAAAATTAGTACTTTTACGGAAACCTATGAAGTAATATCCTTCATTCCATAATCCAACAGCAGCAGTATCGTTCACCTATTTATTACCTTTTTTTGCTATAATTTAGTGTCACCTTTACTACATAAATTGTTCACTTACTGGCTGACTGATTGAATGACTTACTACTTTTAAAACATTTACATCTGATAGACAAGTGGTAATGATTGTTATGCTAGATTTCAAAACCTGCATCACTGAATTACAAAATAAAAATTACTGCGTTATTGACATT